CCATTGGCAAGGTTCGAGGGGTTTGAGGGGTTTGAGGCGGCCAGTATGGCAGAACCATTGGCAAGGTTCGAGGGTGGCAGTTTCGGGCCACTAGAAAAAAAGGATTTGGCGCGCCAGAGCCCGAGCCCACAGTCTGCGCAACTCCGCCCACAGTCTCGCACAGAGCCCAGAGCCCACAGTCTAGCAAGTGCGAGGTTTTGGAGCGTCTCCAACGGCCAGTATCCAGTATGGCAGAACCATTGGCAAGGTTCGAGGGGTTTGAGGGGTTTGAGGGGTTTGGCGCGCCACAGCCCCGAGCCCACAGTCTGCGCAACTCCGCCCACAGTCTCGCACAGAGCCCAGAGCCCACAGTCTAGCAAGTGCGAGGTTTGGGAGCGTCTGAAGCGGGCCCAGAAAAGCAAGGATTTGGAGAGCTCAGGTTCCACACCTTCGGTGGTCCCAGGCGCCGCCCCTGCCTTCGCCAAAGCAGGGGTCGGCGGATATATAACATTTAAACAATCAAATATTTATACCATTTGTATCCAATGTGGCCCCACGAGTTCCTCCACTCCTTAGCCCTTAGGCGACGCCCTCGGGCGGGGGTATCCCCGTGGTGCCCATCGCCATTGGCCTGGTGGTGGCCAACGTGCTGATCTGGGGCTGCTCGATGTGAATGCCGAACAAAAGGGTCTCGCCGGTGAAAAGAGATGCTTGTTTACTAGTCTTCCTGCGGATCCCTACAGTTCCCAATGCATTAGCGTGTGCTTGCGGCTTCTTTCACTCCGTTTTTTTCTACAATCCGTAAGATTTCTAGGTGGCGAATGATAAAGCATGATAAAGCCTATCAAGCCGCCTCACTCATGCTTTGGCCGAGTGAACCAACCCAGCTTTACTATTGCTGGAACTCCTCGAATCTGGTGTATGTTTGGAATATACTGACATAATCTGACATATACTGTGTTGCATCTTTGGCTGTTTCGTGTTCTCGCGCATTCTCTTTGCAACTAAGTGTGAAAGAGGCAAGATGACTTACTGTAGTCAGTGACATTTAAGTCGAGCAGTTGGGCATGATCTGAGGACCTCAAAAAACAGTAAAAAACAAATATGACTATATAACTAAATACTGCGATAAAATGGCCAGCATCCTCCCACTCTCAGGTGCAATTTGGTGCATCAAGAAGAAGCGAAATGGCTACAGCAATTATTCCAGCGATGAAGAGGCCGGCGACAGATTGACCTGGCATCCTGGAAAGAACGAACCGTGGCACCCAGGGTTGAGTTGTAGGTGTAAGGATCAACGCGTTGCCTCAGTTTGCGCGTATAGAACTTGAGCCTGGAACGTTCCAGGACACAGCTCCATTGGCCAAAGACCATCGCCGAAGCTTGGACCAACTATTTATTTGGTATGGCAAATAGGAACATGTTTTAAGCCCGCTCCTACTTCAATAAGTAGGCACCTACTTAGTTATATATGGCAGGGAGTAGTTCGCTACTAGCCATAAATAGGAAGCTCCTAGCTAGGACGCAGAATAGCTCACGCAGAAGCGCTCCCACCAATGATTTGGCTTCACATGTAGTGACGAACATGCTTTTACACGAGTTGGTATGGCTTCACATCCAGGATATATCAACACATGTGTAGATCCATACTTATTGGCAGGTTGGCGCTCAGGTTGGGGTCAGGATAAGAGCCCATTACAGGGTTGGATCCACTTGTTCTATTTTGGTCATCATGGGTCATTTGCCATTGACTAGCCAATGGCTTGGCTGAGATAGGGAGAAATGGTGAAGGGCAAGGTGTTGATTTTGCTTGGTCTTTGGACATCTTTGGAAACATAATTCCCACTCATTGCATTTAATACATGGTGACATGATCCAGGTGTTGGGATGAGGTGGGATTCTCCATGGGTCGTCGCCAGGGATAATGTTTCATGCGTAGTGGCATACGTAGCTGTTATCAACATTGTCAAAGTAGATAAGTCAAAATCAGCGAAGACAACTTGTATGGCCTACGTCATTGCTTGAGTCCGCGGAAGGTTGCGCTGAAATACATACATGTTGCAGAGTAACTTTTGGCCACTGTAAACAGATGTATATAAACATACATACATATATATAAATATATAATAGAATATATATTACAGTTTGAGAGTTCAGTTTACATTGTTTCTCTCTTCAAGTATGTGAAGGGGCTGGTGCAGAGAACGTTATTTTGGTACACACATCTCAAGATCACCCCATGTACCAGAAATTCTAAGATCGACTCATGCCCCATTCCGACGCTGAACCGAGGCTTTCAGGGGCCCGGCCACTGAGTACAGAGGATTAGGACACCGGAAACTGCGTGAAAGAGACGCGGATTCCTCAGAAGGGAAGAAGAGCTTTTGGCACCTGGACGATGCGTGATTGGCCGGTGAATTGCACGATTGGAGCTCCTTTGATTGTGAAAAGATGTTTAAAGATGTTTGACGCATGTGGGCAATCTTGCTGCAAAAAGCCTCTCTGTCTATGTGAGCAGAGGATATGTGAGTCCTTCGGTTGGTAGTGTTTTAGTATCAAGAGAGTCTTAAAGATTTGTCCACACTGTAAGACAGAAGGAATTCTGACTTGGTTGCACATGAGTCAGGGAGAGATCTTTGGTAGTTGATAATGACCACAAAGGATATCAGGGCAGCAGACCCAGACCACAATCGATTGCATGAGTGGCTTGTTTGCTTGGTTTGACAGCTTCAGCATCCCCAGGGCCAGGCCCTTTTGTGCAGATTGATATACTGTAGATTGATCAAGTTGGCTGACATTCAAGGGCTCAGTGTATTCACAGGTCACTTGTGGATATCGAAGACGGATGGACCAAGACCAGAAAAGGGCCATTTTCGAGGAACAAATGTTAACTGTAGTTAGCTTTTATACGGTTTTGCCTGGGCCAAGGTTGAAGAAGGTTGAAATTTGGACCGGTGGGAGGCTAGTGAGTCCACAAGCACAGTTGCGATATTACGAAGCACTGATAATGCTTCAAGTCTCCAAGGTATAGATGTTCAGGCGTCCAACCATAGTTACAGTTAATTACAAAGGTTACATTCATCAATGTTCTTGTTTCGCTCATGCGTTGGCCCGAACTCACAGTCCAGCCAACCCGTTGTGTCACCCTTTGGGGGCTGGGCGCTACGGGCGCCGACTAGAGCTGGCCCCCGAAAAACCAATGCCTCGTCAATGGACCACGGTCGGCTCTCCCAATACAAGGCTCCTGGACACACAGAGCACAGGAGCAGAAGTCGCCCCAGCAACCTAAAAAAGAAAGGAAGTTGTTTGTTACTAATAGTAATGCACTTGTTACTACTACACTTGTTACTAGTAGAAATGCCCGCCTTGATACTATTAGGGAGGAGGGAGGACCCACAGCGTCAATGGCAACATGTTTGTTGTTTTTTTCAGTTTGTTGGGGTGGGGCTACAGAGGTTTGACTTGTACCCAGATGGAGTCTGACTTGGTATAGGGATGTTTCATAGACAGTCATTTGGAGTCATCCATTTGTAGAACAAAATGGTAAACTGCGGATGAGGGCAGCATATTATCTCGCCGCAGCTAAATTCGTACGGCACAGACGTATTTATCCGGCATTGTTGCCCACTAAGGGGTGGGCCCTTACCACAATGTGTTCCACAAGCTTCCATTTGACACCATTGAAGGAGCGAGTCGACGTAGAAGTCGAGCCGTGGCTGGTGGTCTTCGTTCCGAAACATCCCAGCCAGCGACCGCCGCAAATGTGAGAAACACTGCGACCGCGGGCCGCAGGCCGAGGCAAGTTAGTGTGCCAAAGCTGAGCACCTGATAACAAGAGAAGGACGTAATTGGTTGTAGCAAGTAGAACAGACTCGACGCGTTTGCGTTTGCACCAGGTAGGTACTTGTACTCTCCAATAAGTTGTAAAATGCCAAGGAACCCACTTGCGGACACCTAATGTTGGTGCGCACTCAGGAATTGAATGGCTGAACGACTATGGTGGAGTCCAGAAGGAGCACAGTCACCAGTTCGTGGGCTGTAAACAATGTTGTGCCAAGTATACTGATGCAAACATGCATGACTGGGCAGGGTACCTCTTAATAGCGAAAGTCATATTTTAATAGACATTGCCAAATCATTGTCTCACTTTCTCTTTGTGGAGTTGCAAGCACAACTGCCCTGCTCTTTGCAGTCATGTGCAGGTCAGAAGCAAGACACATGTTGTGAGTAGGACTGGTTAAGTCAGCTCCTGGATCTAGCTAAAAATCTGCGATGTGTGAACACATATTGAACCATTTTGATACATTGGGAGAATGGTGAACCCCCATCCCTTGTTTTGCTAGCTTCGATCCACTGGAGTTTCCAATCCCAGAAATCCGGGTGGAGGATATCAACTACAACAAGGTGGTGGCAGCTTTGGAGCAGGTGGGGACCTTAGGAGCGACAAAAACAGAGGTTTGGAGATGGGCAGGATCGGAGGGCGAGAGGTGGTGCCAGAGGTGTTCAACAACAGGCGCAGCTGGTTTCCGATGCCAAACATGGATCTGAGTAAGTGGGTTCAAACCACTCAATTGTGACGACTTGCAGATATAGTAGAGTTGGATGTCCAGCAACAGGAGTGTCACCACAGACTGAGACCTGTTTCCTCATGCATCATTTCTGTGTTTAGCAGCCTATCAGGTGGGTCTGGAGTCGGCGATGAGAATCCTGAAGGACTTGGAAGATCAGGCCGCAGGCGGTACACATCCGGACAAGTCGTCGCGCGGATGGCGCGCGAGCCCACGGTGCCATGTGGTGGCACGCGCGGCAGGTGTGGCAGATCCCAATGAGTTCATTCTGAGCTCACTGAAGAAGCCGGTAGGTCCCACCGGAGGAGAGGGCTGGCGGCTGGGGGTGGACCGACCAACAGGTGGGTGGAGACAGGTCATAAGAAGGAGCATGATAGAAGCTGCAAGGATCGCAGGGTGGTAAGTGGTAAGTTGAAAGGGACATCCTGTATGCCAGGTGGTGCAGGATCTTTTTCATCAACAGTATGTCAGAGATCGTACAAATCCCTTGGACAGCCTGAGGAGCCAGTGGCAGCAGTGATGGCGGAATACCGAAGGAGGAACCTCTCACATCTCTGGAGGCATGGCACCTTTCATACCAAGCCGAGGATTTCGACTGGTGACCTCCAGCCTACTTGCGATGGCCTCCAACCTAGAAGCGATGCCTACTTGCGAT